AGATAGAGAGAGAGAGAGAATCTTGACTCTAGAGAATTAAAAGGTTTATTTACTCTAAAAATAACTGAATTCTAGTGAACACAACATTTAAATAATTATTTGTTGCTTTCCATTGAAATGAGTTGATTATCACAAGAAAGATTTGTGTTAAACACTGTAATGTGTCTCAAATGATTTAATTGTAGGCGTCTAATGAATCAAATGGACTGTTATATAACATTTTACACTAATGGAAATTCTTATTATTAGCTACTATTAATATTAAGAAAAAATCATTTATATAAAAAATGCTTAGAGAGCTATGGACTGGAAATCTCTCGATAATATTTGTAATAATGCAATTGATTTAATCATATCTTAGGCTTAACTTACTCTCAAGACTTCAAGATTTACTCATATTTTTTTATTATAAATGTCCATAAAATGATTTCTCATAAGAATTAATAATATATAGTGAAGTACACCTCCTGTGTTGAGTGCAGTATTACTTTAATTGAATATATGCCCACTTTTATCTACAAAATGGCCCAAATATATTCTCTATAACTTATAATAAGTACATTAAATAACAAGTAAACTCACTTCTAGATAATCTAATTTTCTTTGAGTACATATTTATTATATATTTTGAGAAAACATTTTTTTCATTTAATTTCATTAGAGATGACAGAATTAGTGTACAAAATATAGTATAGATTTGTAGAGCTATTACGATAGATGCACAAAAAGTATGTATATAAATATCAATTGGTCACTTATTTATTTTATGCATAATACATAATAATAATACATGATATAACATTGGTGAGATACTTACTATAAATACTTACCTTATATAACTTATAAAGTAATATATTAAACTATATTTGCAATAAATCCAAAACTAATTTATATAGAATATTCTAATGTAGGAATCGCCAGGACTTTTATATTAATAAATTATAATACAATATAAAGATTACCATTTAACTAATCATTACCTGCCCTTGAAATATAAGTGAATGGGTTTAAAGCGTAAATCATTTGTGTTGAATATAAATATGAATCACACATTTCATTAAACCCCACCACATATTAGTGCACATTATATATGAGTAAAATATTAATTATAATCCTAGAAGTGATTCTAGGCTTTTGATATTCTAATGTATAATAATAATTGTATAAATGCTTAATAAATCAATCAATTAATATTATTTGCATGATAACAAATATAATCTGATAATTATTATTTCTGGTGACTATACTTGTGACCAGAGAAACAGTAGACCTTATAATTCACACAAATTTCGTATATATAAACTTACAAATTAGTTGTAAAACAAGCTATCTAGCGTAGATAGCGGCTTTTTAGCATTAATTTATAAGTTTATATACGAAATTTGTGTGAATTATAAGGTCTACTGTTTCTCTGCTTGTGACTAATTGATTATGTTTAACTTATTGAATAAAATGATTGTTTTATGTGATTGAATAGCGGGTGAATTGGATCGGCGCCGAAATATTCAGCAACTGGTGGTGATATGTTGTCAGGAGGCGTGTTCACTGTCCACCTTAACCAAGTACTGTCGCCCGGCTAAGGCGGCGCTCGGCAAATGGCCCATCAATGATGGCATACAACAGCCCAACCCGGCTCTAGTTCATGACAGGGATGATATATTTAAGCTCAAATTGCCGTTATTTAGGCCACCGGAAAATTTTGGACAATACGTCAATTGAACATGATTGTTTGAATCAAACACACATATATACATTTGTTTAATAATGGGTTAATACAGAGATAATGATAATAATTAAAACAGTAACTGTAAAATGTTTGTCAAAAAATACTTGTTATTATAAAATTCTTATTATTATTAACAAAAACCAATAAATGTGAATATAATAGTGTTTTATTGTTAATTACAACATAATTCATTGCTGGCGAGGCATTGTCTATGAGAATCATAATTATTTGTATGGGGAGATCGGATGATAAAAGTAACTACCGTAGTTAATATTAAACTGTAAACGTACATCAAATATTATGTTGTAATTATGGTAAATGAGCTATCTGTTTTCTCACGTAATTTCACTTTTATTACATTTATTACTTCGCCAATTAAATACTCTTAATTTACAATCATCATTAAAACTTTAAAACAAAGTTTACATCAAATAAAATGTCACTAAAATATCATAAACATACAAAATCAAGTGTCTAATTTATACTAAATAAAACTGACCTTACTTAATCATTTTGACTTAATATGTTTTGTTGTAACAACATTTTATTCATATGCCTATTATTATCCAATAAAGTAATATTCAGAAGTTACATATAATTTTGTTATAAATAAATTATAATCTAGCTATAAATTTGTATGTTCATTTGAGCTAGCAATGGTCACTATATAATAGGGTTGCTTTATTAAGACTCTGAGGCCCCATCTCTCCCGCTCTTCTCAATTATAATTTAAATAAAAACGTGTATTTAATAATGAAATTTGTCGATAGCCTAAAAGGTTTCATATGAATTATATGTAATTAAATAGAATTTAATAGATTTATTTGTTTAAGAAATCATTAATAGTAAATTATATTTTAAAAATACTACAAGATGTGTATTTTTTAATTGTAAACACGTTTGGATGTATTTTTCAAATAATTTATTAAAATAAAATTTTATTTTAAAAACCCTGCCCAAATGTTATTTATTCTAATTAATTAATAATACCAGTAATAACTATTTCACGGTATTTCACTTGGTCACAATTTCAATAAATAAATTTACATTATTGGTTATACTAGTATGTATTACTGTTAACATAAAATCAAAATTATAGTGAGTCTTAATAACATTGTATTAATTTGTCATACTTAATTAATTAATTTGATTAACTAACTGTAAGATCTTATATTTAAACAAATCCATTATAAAATACTTACCAATAATTAGCTATTAAAATAGTACTTGAATTTTAAAATCAAAATTTACCGGTATTATTTATATAAACAAATGTGATTAAAATTAAAATTTTAATAATTACTGTAATTTAGTTATTATATAATAATTATACAGTTATTTAAAATTGATTGAGATTGAAATAACAAATGTTTATTAACAATAATCTCGTAATAAAATTCACATCATTTTTGCAATATATTTGATTAATCTCTGAGATAATCACAGAAAAATAATGTTATATTAATTTTTTAATTAACTTAATAATTATTGGAATTATTAATAAATATATTAATTGTATAGTTTAAAAGATCTCAATAAAACAATGTTCCCTTTTTTGTCATTTGATACTTGTTTTGCATTCATTTTAAATCATTGGCTCAAAAAGTGATCAAAAAGTATCAAAAGATTTTATCATAAATAAAAACATGAAATATATTCACAAAACAGTTAATGAATTATTTTAAATGATAAACATTTATATAAATAAAAACAATATGCATAAGCATATGATTAAATGTGCCTCAAATACAGTCAATACTGTTAGAGCGCATAACATCCTTATAACAGTTACGACAGACGGGCACCGGATGTTTGCGATAGTGTCCGGGCAGTGGTATGCGCTTATCTATACACCGAACACAGAACACGTGACCGCACGTACAGCAGTGTTGTTTGCTTGAGAAGGGCTCGAATGGTGTGCCACAAACACACTCCTTCACACTTTGCAATGACTGCCAATCCATTGCCACCGATCCGTACACACCATTCAACTCCAATACGGCAGCCGATGTGTCCTTTAGTTACAATCGTATTAACAAATTACAAACAAATTACTAAATGCTTGTGACATACGTTGATCTTCATATCGGCAAATGTTATCACTTCCTGTGCTTTGAATTTCTCCAACCGATTGATACTCTCGGCAACCATTTTCAATGGCGAATCGATTTCATCCAAGTCTAGGGAACCAATGAAGTTGGAGTTGCCGTTCGAGTGCGTGGCGGAGCTCTTATACAGATCAGAAGCGCTCATCAATGGGTCCGGAGATACGCCACAAGAGCTCTGAGAGTCACTCGTGTCGCTCGACAATCGAGTTATTTGCTGTTTATAAACAATATTTTCATTTAAAAACAATCATATTTTGGTTTATAGATCATGAAAAACACAAACGTCTTCGAGATATTGGATATGATTTTCAAGACTAGAGATGTGGTTCTGTGCGGCCACTAATACTTCGCTCAATGAATGGCGTGGATGGACACCAAATTCAAACCGGTTGTACAGTCCTCTCCAGAACCTATGAAATGCATTTGTAAAACACAATAACAGCGCAATTGTTTCATTAATTACTTGATTGTTTGCGGAGAAACATTAACGTCGAGTATGTCTTGTGTGTTCTCTTTGACGTAGAGGGGGTTCAGAAACTCGGCTCTATGGCTATTGATATACGCCCATAAACTGTAAGTTCTCTCAACCACTCTATAATAAACAATCACTAATTATTGGCAATTGATTGCNTTCGCGGATATGTGTCACAAATCTATTAACAATTAAACAATAAATAATTAAAATTATAGACATTTAATGATTTGAATAGAAGACCTCATAATTGGTGTTAATAGTGGTTTGATTCCAGTGCTGATTAGGACAACCCATGCGCTGAAACTCCGATTCGTATGTGTATTGTTGCCAACCGTCCTCTTTCTCGAAGTGCTCATTACTGGCCGTATAGTTAAAGCAATACAAGTCCTCGATATTGGCTGACAATGAGTGGAAACAATTAATTCAATTCATAGACTATTGCATAACTAGTAGACATGCATTGGTAGACCATTACTGGGTTGCGAGAGCTGATAGATGGAGAGGTAGATGTCGTGGGCATCCCTTTCCTTAGGGATGACGAAAGTGACGCACAGGAAGTGTTTGCATCGCATGAGAAGCGGTGAACCCGTTGTAGTGATCGACAACTTCTCGATCGATGAGATCAATGTGTGAAGAATCCAATTCTCGCGCTTCACGTTGTGGTCAACGAATATGAGATGCGTTGCCGTCAGATATAGCGTTCCCGACGGCGTCCCACCGACACTCGTGCCCCCCGTCTGAGCCGCGTATCGGTATAGCATTCGCACGTTTTCCACCTACAGGTCGTGGGCACACATTAGCACACATTATGCATGTAGTTATACATCATTACATTAGACACATTCATTCAAAAGCATTACTTTATCTGTAAAACATATGTAACACTTAAGACACACATTTACTAGAGCTCTCTCTCTCTCTCTCTCTCTCTCTCTCTCTCTCTCTCTGGATATAATTAGTTGAATAATGTGTTGATTATAACTTCGGTATTCACTATAACTATAAGTGTATGCAAAATGACAATACCTTTGGCGTACGGATTAACTCCATTGCAAACACTGGTTGTTGTGATTGTATTGATAAGTGTTGTAATAAATGTTATGATTTAGTCATCAAATAACGATTGCTTTGATTTATACTATAATTAACAACTAATTGTTGCGATGATTGACACAAAACACAATTAAATGACAACTAATTAATGCTTAAATAAATAGAAAACAAATGACAAGTGTTTTGATTGTTTTGAAAGCATATAATATGTGGACATAAATAGTGGATAGAAATCGCCTACAAATCACGTGACGTGAGCTTTACATCACTTCAATGCTGTCATTAATAGTGACACCACATAAACAATGGGTTGATATAATTAGCGCATTATATTCTTCATGCTACGATGACATAGGTAAGTTTGTAATTTTATCATTTTAATAATGCCATTATAATGATCAAATTGTAATGATTATACAATTTATTATTTGCTTTATTGGTGTTATTATATTGTGAGTAGACTGTACTGATTGGGTACAGGTATTTGTTGCTATGAAAACACCTGTTTGTATGGTTCGTACGTATAAAACGTTGCGATAATGGCATAAGTTTTTGACACTTTTGCATTCACTGCATATTAATTGAAATGTCACTAATTTTGATGATTAGTGGTGATTAGGTTTTGACAAAGCTGTTATATTTGTGCCAGACTGTTTGGCCTTGTTTCATGTATTCTCGCCAATCTTGGAATAACAATATTTGAATAAATATTGAATTTTATAGATTTTAGTGAATATNTATTCTCGCCAATCTTGGAATAACAATATTTGAATAAATATTGAATTTTATAGATTTTAGTGAATATTAGTTTTCTAATGAATGAATTGAAAATTTTGAATAAATGTTTGAAATTTAGAGTTAAGACAAAAATGTTTGTTATTTCGGAAATGAAAAACAATTAAACACTTGTTTGTGGACTAAAATAGAGTGGTTTCATGTTTTTCTAATAAACAACCCTTGAGTTGATGTGAGTTTTGTTTTTGCATTCTTAGGATCAATAAATATAATTATAAATTCATTAGCAAGAATAACATATAACTTATATTTTGTTAGATTTATAATCGCAACGAAAGTTAACCACAGATTACATGTCTTTTATCTAATCTTAAACGAAGGGAATATTATTTTTACAAAAATTCATTTTTTAAGATCTGATGCTATTATTAAAACAATATTTGTATTAAAACTGTTTAAAATTTATTTTTAACGAATGTTTTCTTTAAAGTGACCATAAGTTTATTTGTAAGTTTTGAAAACATTATTTACTCAATCATATGTTGTAAAAGTAACTTAACTTCAATTCTATTGTGTTTTAGTCTTAGTTTATATTGTTATTAAATTTATAAATGATTGTTAACATCAAGTTTTTTGCCAATAATTGTAATGATGTGCACAAAATATATCGCAATTTATATACATTTACTGATATTCTGTTGTCTTATTTCTGCAAACTATTGTCGAGCGAAAGGATTAAACATAAATAATGCAAAGATTGATACCACAGAATATTCTGTTGACTATTATTTGAACGATTCTGTTGTCACCGTTGATGAGATCATAACCGATACGACTCTGCAAACTATTGTCGAGCGAAAGGATTAAACATAAATAATGCAAAGATTGATACCACAGAATATTCTGTTGACTATTATTTGAACGATTCTGTTGTCACCGTTGATGAGATCATAACCGATACGACTAATAGTCCAGAGCCTACCACTGAAGACGACGACGACTATTATGAATATGAAACCAATAATAGTGGTTATAATGAAGGAAATTGTGCTAATAATAATATTTTTGATAAATTACTTGATATATACAATGAGAATAGAGATCTGGTTGTTGTGAAGAATGTAAATAATGTGAATAAAACATTGGACACAATCAACAGACTTTCTAAGATTATCTTCGATTTATCTAAAGACCTGTTAAGCGTTAAACAGTTGACACAATTGGCAGAAATTTTCTTTAGTATAGATATTCCGACCGATTGTTTGCTATCATTGATAGAAGTGGTCAATGGTATCAGACGTGAGGAATTGTGGGCCATTAAGTGTGAGTTGTATTAATTATGTACAGTATTATTAAATCGCGTAACATCTCAACAAATTATTTAACACTATATTTTTATTTTATATGTAATTGTAAGCATACACCGATTTTTAACAATATTTTATCTAGTTTATGATTAATCAGTTATTTAATAATTATCATAAATTATGGGATTAAAAATATTTATTTAATTTATTATTTTATAGCTTAACTAAATGTTGTGTGAGATATAATATTATAAATTAATTGCTAATTCAGTACAATTAAAAGGAAATGAACCAACAATTGTTAACAATATGAATTAAAAAATGAAATGATCAAATAAATGATTTCAGTTATCGATTCAATGGGACGAATACCTACGGGTATAATGGAAGGAACGGTATCTCATTTCGGGGAATTTGACGAATGTCTGGGCATTGAAAGTCCAGTCAATGCGGACACACTGTCGACCCAATCGCTTATTAAGGGACAATACTGTTTGGCCAAAATTATATTGCCTTATCCTAAGAAACAGCCATTAGATAAGAGAGCAAATAAGAATATTTCAAACAAGATTTATTTTGATAAATTGGTCGCATTTCTCAAGAATTATAATATGGATCAGTATTTAACAGTTTTCAAACTCATTGAGATATTAAATAACCAAAAGGGGGCCACTTTCCGGTTTGGCACATGTATACCATCAGTATGTCGACCGCAAGATATTGAAAACATTCTCAATACTGGTGAACTAATTTAAACATTACTTGCATTTGTTAGCTACTGTATATATTTTATCATCAATTTAATATTGTGGTTTAATTTTAGTGATATATCCAATAACACATATGCCCATAGAATTGATGCCCGATTGTTACGTCAAAAATGAACCAAAGAATCTTGATAATTTTCAGAAAGTGGCCATGTATTGTATCGCTGCATTTTTTATTATTTAGTTTATAATTTTGGTTTTTATTCTATATTTGTCTTTTATTTTAGAATAATTTTGGTTTTAATAATATTAGTGTCGATAATATGTAATATAATGGAAATTATAGTTAAATGCTATAAATGTATGGGCGAACAGAAAGGAGAGAAAACAATCAACACTAATGTTGTGACAATTAATAAGATTAATAATAAGTTGGATAATAATAATAATAATAATAATAATAAGATGCCAACCCATTCAACCGGCCATTCAAATAGCCGTTCGTTGTTTGAGAAGATCGTGTCTTGTTTTTCATTGATGTCAAACATAAAGTTATTGTTCGCCGATTCGGGATCCAAACGCTTTGTGTGCATCGATGCCATACGTTTCCTATTGATAATTAACGTATGCGTGGATCACATGTATTTATTCACTCCTTTCATGAGTACCATTGCCTTCAGGCGTATACTGAACTCTGTTATAACGAAAGTCTATTATTATAATAAATACTTTTTCGCCAGAAATATTTTGATTATTGATACCATGTTTATAATTAGGTTTGTATTAATAATCGTTGTTTTTATTGATTTAATTGTTTATTTATTTACAAAATAGCGGACTTTTAGTCTCATACGGCTTATATGGGAGACTAATTAAAACGAATGGCAAATTCAATTATTTGACATATTTGATTAGACTATGGCTTAAATACTCAGTTCCCATGTTTATTGTGGTGCTATTATTTTGGTTGCTGCCCCTGATAGGTGATGGACCAATATGGAATTACGGCATTAATCTGATAATGCCCTCTTGTCAAGACAACTATAGTCTATTATCAAGTTTCTTTTACTTTAGTAATTATCGCATTCAATCGGATCACAATGTATTTGACTTCGGGCCCGGATTTGCAATTGTAAGCTAACCATATTAATTGTTCTTTTATTAACAACAATTCTAGTAAATCTAAATATGTTTATCAATTAAATATTTACGTAGTAATTTTTGTAAATGTTAATCATGTAATAATTGTATAATTAATTTAATTGTGGTGAAGTGCAACCCTCCCACATGGTTCCTATCAGCTCTATTCCAACTACAAGTGATCGCACCGTTTATTGTGCTAATGCTATACAGATCACCCAAATTAGGTGTGAGTTTAACACTGGCTATAATAATGTTTGGATGTTATGCCAGTATATCACCGAAGCATCTGTTCGGCCAAAAGACATATTTGGATCCATTGGGCATTAGTTCCCTCGAAGAGATGACTAAAGCATTCGTAGCCTTTCATATGGGAATCAATCAGTATATCATCTCATTCTTCATCGGTATATTAGTCGGATATTTGGTCCGCGAGAATGACATTAACAGATGTCTGTCTCGCAAATGGGAGGCCCTGTTGTGGGTGTTGTCCTTTTCAACAATTATATATGTCATGTATTGGTATATGACTTTGCATACGTTGAACGCCTCCCCTCCCAAGTCCAGTGTTTTATTGTGGTTTTCATTCGGCAAACTATTCGCTTGTATTGCCATTTCATGGATCCTATTCTCGCTGTGCATCGGGAGAGCAGGTATTCAACAATACCTGTCCTTCAATTCAATCTAATCTCATATTTAATTACATTTTCTTTTTATTACATATGAATAGCATTTTTAGAGAAAGTATTTTCTTGGTATGGCTTTCAAGTGGTGTCGCGCCTGTCGTTTGGTATTTATATCCTTCACTTCCTTCCCCTCTCATACAGACTTTTTTCAGTGAGGGATACGTATGTAATGACAGATAAATTACTCGTAAGTATCCAATGATTTGATGAAAGTGTTGTAGAAATAAGTTATTTTAATAATAATATTTGTTTCTCACCCATAGATTGAATACATAACTATAGACTTCATAATATCAGCGTTCATAGCGTTTCTCTTTTATATCTTGATTGAGAGACCATTTAATAATATAATCGCACTTTTGTTTGACAGGAGAGCCAGCGATGAAGAGTTCTTCAACACCGAGAAAATACTCAATAATAGACATGTTTTGCCACAAATCAATGTTTTTACAGCTAATTGTCACGAAAGTTATAATAAATAGATTTAATATAACTTTAACTTAAATAATTAAATTACAAATTTATTTAATGTTGATTTTAATAGAAATTTTACATTTCGGGAATTTAACAGTTCTCCTTTTAGTATTTTGAATAGTTTAATTTAAAACATTATTAATACTATTTTTATGCATTGAAATCAATTCATGTTTACTTTATTTTCATTAAGGTATAGATAATTACTTCTTAAATAAAAATTGAGATTTTTTTTGATAAACAGTTTATTTTTAATCATAAATATTTTATAAATATTCCAAAAAACAAACGATATAACTTTTATTTAATTTCAGATGAGTTTTAAAAATATTTATCTGTACTTATTATACAAGTGTTGGTGCTTTGGTTTATGTGTCTTATACTCGACCGGTCCCTCCCATACCATATCAGTCTTATAGCCGGTCTGAAGCGGTAAATACAGACTTCGTTCGCAGTCTCGTTGTCCGTCCAACGCAAGTGTTCTCATCTTCAGGTCAATCAACACATCCCTCGCGTTATTGTTGGGCGCGATCTTTGCTTTCCTTATATACCAACCGTCCGCGTAGTCCGGATACACACATATGTGATCGCTATAGTAATGGTTCGGTCGACTGATCAATACGTTTTCAGTAGTCATTATAATCTGTTTATTGTATCATTTAATATATTATCAATTTTATATATTAATTATACAAAATTCAGTTCAAATTAATGTTTTACTTTTTAAATGATTTACAAAAAGACTTACAATTTACTTGTGAAGTGAAGTGATGTGTTAAATACACTGAAACGAAAGGACGAGTACTTGAATTGAATGATAAAAATTAATTTTCAAGTTTAGTTATATATATAAGACTTTGACAACACTTTTATACCAGTTTATGGGTATATGCGCTGAAGAATATTCTGTGTTTGTGTCTTGTATTTGTGTGTCAGTCATGACGTTAATGTAATTACTATTATTATTATTAGTGGTAACTGTGGGTTGGGATGTGTTTCCAAACTCTCATTAACTTTCAATGCATTTCATTGAGTGCTATTTAAAGACTCGATCTTCTCATTTACATTCATTATCGTTGAGTGAAATATTTGTTAAAATAGACATTTAATACAAACAATCCTCTAATTTGGCAACTTTTCAATTACACGTTTATGTTTTAAATCAATTTTATTTTTCTTAAAAATGTAAATACTTTGAATGTCATCATTGATATACAAAATTAATTCTATAAATAATAACAAAATTAATCTATTAATAAACTTATAATCCGTTGAACCATTTTTTAGAAATTGAAAAATAAACTAGACATTTTTAATTTGACTAGTTAAATATTTATATAAGTTTTAATTAAAATTTCAATTGAGTGTAATGTAGCATATATTAATTTATTAAATAAAATGATTGCTTAGAAACAACAGCTATAAGTGCTTATTTAAAACATGTCTACAATAACATCGTCGAAATGTTTACATCGATATATCAATAATGAAATATCTATTTCTAGTGATATATTGTATATCTATAGCACAGGTTTGTTGTAAATTAAAAGCGGTTCCGGAATTAACTGAAGACGAGCTCAAAGTTTACGATGAATACAACGAACAAATTTATAGCAATTATTCAAAATTATTGGGAAAAACGCATAAAATTGTTGACGAGAACGAAGACAATGATCAGATGTTACAGGCTTTTGATAAGGGAGACAGACACAACACTTTGGTGCGAGGTGCTTTAGCCATGGTACCCATTCACACAATTAGTATGTAAATTATAGTTATTAAACGTGTCATTTGTTTTACCTTCTACTCACATTTGTTGTGCTTATATTTGAATAAACTTAATGTTTATGAAAATCTAAATTAGAGAAATTGGGCAAAACATGTTTCCCTGACATCGGATGTTATTCGGGAATACAGTTTACTGGTCAGGGAGTCAATCATTTACCACTTTCACCAAAAGTTATAAATCCAGTCTTTTTTCTTTATACGCATAATAATACAAAAAAGGGTCGAATTTTACGATACAATCCCAGCAAAGATGACATGAAATCCATAAATTTTGAACCTAAATATCCAACTATTGTAATAACACATGGATTTATGAGTGATGTTGAAAGATGGATGTTGGTAAGAATGTTTATACTGTACATATTAATTATATTCTTCAAATTTGACAAATATTATATTATAAAAGTAGGTATATTTCTGAAGTGGTTGTAAATGTATAAATTACTAACATTATTACAAATTAATTAAACAGTTCATTTTAAATAATAAATTTATTATTTATTATTTTGATATATTTTTTGGATAGGATATGAAAGATTTGTTTTTCGATCAAAATTACAATAAATACAACATAATTTTGGTTGCGTGGGGTAAGGGAGCAAAAATCAGTTCGTACTACTTGGCCGCCGCCAACACACAAGTGGTGGGAGGGCTCGTTGCATACTTTATCAATCGTTTGTGTGAAATATATAACATTAAAAACGACATGTTTTCGCTGATCGGACACAGTCTGGGCGCGCATGTGATGGGTCAGGCGGGTCGACGTCTCTATAAGCCGCGTGTGGCCCGAATCACAGGCCTGGATCCGGCCGGACCCGGGTTTCGCGATGATGCCCGGAGACTCAATAGAAATGATGCCTCACTTGTGATTATATTACACACCGATATATCGGAGTATACGATAACGGAAGGCTTAGGTCAGCCCTTACACTCAGGTCACGTCGATTTTTTCCCAAATGGAGGCAAATTACAGGTTATTATTACCTTATTAAATGTCAATTTTTCAAAATAAAATTGACTAATGATTGTGATTAGCCGGGATGCGCCTCATCACGCGGTATCTTAAATGCAATCAAAGCAATCCGTGCTGACGAACAACTCTCGTGTTCACATCTAAGAGCTTGTGATTTGGGTAAAAGTTTAGGTAAATCACTGCAAACACTGCAGGTTCTCAATATTAAGCACAATTTACACCAAAATTTAAACACAATATTATATAATAAAAAACAAATCTACAGTATATTTGATGTAAAAATGATTATATTTGTGAAGGTAAAAGAGGAGATATGTGTTTACCGGTTGGTTACCGGTGCTCAGACTGGGAAGACTTTATTGAGGGCCGATGCGCCGATTGTGGCCACAACAACAGTAAGTGCTTCCTTATGGGTCTCTATCCCTTGTATTGGATGGGCGTTGAGCTCCCGGCAGAACATAAGCTCAATTCATCGACATTTCAATATTTTCTCAATACAGAAGCGACTGAAGATTTTTGCTGTAATTATTCATTTAATGCCATTTATATATTTATTAAACGAATTATAATATGTTAACCAATTATTTATTATAAATTAATTGCTTGTTTATTATAGTAGCTATTTTTATAATGATTCAAAAGTATATTTAATATTTATAAATTGTTCGTCAAATATAGTATTTCACTATCAAATAGCATTGCATATATCAAAAGAGTCGGTGCAATGTTTCGGATCGATAGCCATTTCCATCGATGGTTTGGTCTCTTTCAGTGACAATCCCCGAGACGTGACTATTGAAAGGGAGTTGAGTCCCACAAATCCGGGTGCTATTCACACACTACTCGTCACATTTGATTATTATTTTAGACAAATAAATGGTGTGAGTGTTAAGTGGAATAGAAACCAGATTAAGTCAAAAGTGTATTCAGCGGTTGAAGTGGTTAACTATGCGGGTGGTGATGACCTAGAGCCTTTTATAGACGTTCAATTTGTTGAAATTAATTATATGAGCCATATCTACGAAAAGTATGCTTATTATCTATTAATCACATTAATCACAGATAATATTGTTAAAAACATACGATATATACGGTATATGTTTTGTATTGTTGTTTGTTGCAGAGTACGAACTGAGAGGTCGGCCATTCTGTGTCCGGTGAACCAAACCGTGTTGATGGCTAGTGATGACGAACAGGCAGATTATGTGGTTTGCGCGCCCGGTATTAAACCTAAAAAACTGGCCAAAAACACCGATTCCGCGCGTTTGCATCCAATCACTGATCGCAAAGATATTTTATCTGTTGATTACGAAAACGTTCATAAAGTTGCTCATAAAATGAAAAAATCTAATTATTTGCCAAAATAATAGACATATTTAATTAATTACAGGATTTCAATAAATAAATGTATAATTAATATACAATTCTTATTAAGTTGTCTATAAGTTACTAAAATAAATTAAAATTTTTGTTTATAATATAATATAAGAGTAGATTTGTATCAAATTAACGATTTGTCGAAATGTTGGCCGCATTTGGGTTGAGTTCTACAGCCTTGACGTTCTGTGCTGTGATGGCTTGGGATACGTCGGGTGAAGGCATGGGTTCTGTTTGATCGATAGCGGGGGCGTCACTGACTAGTGTCGGGGCATTTGTTGGCCGTTGTGTCTGAGGTGTTTCCTCAACAGTATTGAGATCTAATGCCTGTTCATCAGCACCCGAACAGTCGTAATCAATACCAACTGTATGTGTAATTAAATATATAACACAATTAAGTTAAATCCTATGGATTTATGTAAAAATAGTTTACATTCATTAGTACATATGGCTGCAAGTATTGTCCACACATACGCAATATTAATTGCTAAAACTATTAATATACATGCATTCATATTTTTAAATAATTACGATTTCATATTTAAATTTGTTTAAAAAGTTTAACAATAGTTTTATCAATTCATTTGTTATCTGTGTTATTATACTCTAATCAATATTTACTAACTTTATTTGTATAAACGGTAATAAATATAACAGTAAATATGAACAACCCTTGCTATCCCTTATGGTAAACTATACTTCATTAATGCATTCATTATTGTATACAAAATAATAATATCTTAATTTTAGTTATCAAATCCACGTTTAAAGCAATTAATTATTATTAAATGTCAAAATGGATGACAAATAATAAATAACATTTAATTACATGCACATTTTATTTTGATAAACTGTTTAAATACCAGTAATTGAAAAACAATATTTTCAAACCTTTATAATGTGATTTGACTGTAACATAAATCATTATTTTAATAACTAATTAAATATGTCGTCAAAAATTAGACTTAAATAGAGATGAGGTTTGTTTTGTATTTATACCTATATTTGTGTTTAAGTATAGTGTGTGTCGTGCGGGACGTCGGGTGCGGTCGTCGGCGCACAACCACTACTGAAGCGGACGATGAGGACACCGATACGACGACTACGACGACCACAGAAACTGATGAAAACTTAAAAGTGGAGAACAGCGACGAGACGACCACTACTGATGCCGACACCACAACCTCTACTGAGTCCGACACCACAACCGCTGAGTCCGACGACGAAACCACAACTGCTGAGTCGGATGACGAAACCACAACAAAACATGACTCAATCGACGAAACAACGACTACTGCCGGCGACGGAGCCGATGGCAGTACCACTTCGGGCACAACTGTAAAGCCAATGACAAAGAACGCTACCCTCGAGAAACTGGCTAAAGAGATAGAAAGCGGACAAATGAAGTTCTCGGTCACCGACACTATCAGTAAAGGGTTTAGCAAACTTAAGGGTATGTGTTTGTCATTGCGCTCACAACTGACCCAAAGTAATTGAAAATATAATTGTTGTATGAAATGTAGGTATGATATCAGGAGTGGTTCCGGAGGGCGGCCTCAAGAACGCGGCCTTCTATAAGAATTACAATAAGTTCGTGCAATCCATGTATAGTAAGATATTTCAAGTGGCGGAGTATAAGGAGAAGACAGACACTGGAAAGGGGGGTAAAGCTTCTGAAAGAAGCAACTTCTGGGTTACCGTTCCTCTACTCAAAAGTAATTCAAACATCTTATCACATATTTTGTTTAATAATTTATTTTTATTACATTTTATTACAATCATTTTAATGACATGTAAATTGAATTGAGCTTAAATATTAAAATACTAAAATGTGTAATAATTGATTGTAAATTGACAGATATATTGGGAAAGACATGCTTCGATGACATCGGATGTTTCTCAGCCATGGAATACCAGGATTTCACTCGCCGTCCAATACCATTGCTTCCAATGGCGCCTGAATTCATCCAGGCTACTTTTCATGTGTTCACATTAGACAACAAATTAAAACCACAAAATTTTAGTTTCAACGCAACTGAAAAGGAGCTCAAAAAATCATCATTTAATCCCAAATTAAATACTATACTCATGGTTCACGGATATCGCAGCGCATTTGAGCCCTGGATGATTGTATGCGTTTTTATTTCTTATCTGCATATATAATAAGACAATTATGTAAAGTAAATTGTAACTCTCTCTCTCTCTCTCTCTCTCTCTCTCTCTCTCAGACTTATCCAAATGCATTGTTATATTCTCTCTCTCAGGAATTAAAAGATTTTATTTTCAATCAAACGTCTGATTATAATGTGATTTGTGTGGTTTGGGAAAAGGGTATGTGTATTATTATAATGTTATATAGTGTTTAATAATTTATGTTACATGTATAATATGTATTATATAATTAATGATAATGTGGTCATATGTGATAATATGACACTACAGGAGCAATGGTACCCCTATACCACTTGGCCGCCACCAACACTCGAGTGGTGGGCGCAATGCTGGCCTACTTTGTAACAACACTCACAAAAACATTTAAAATAAAAAACGATAAATTTTGGCTCATCGGACACAGTCTGGGCGGACAGACAGTCGGTTACGCCGGGAAACGACTTAACAATCCCCAAGTGTTCCGCATTACTGGCTTAGATCCGGCGGGTATGCAGTCATACAGTAAATGATTGAATGCGAAAATAATAAAACTATTGTTGTTTGGAAAAGGACCCGGGTTTCATTACGAGAATATAACAATGCATTTGGATAAGTCTGACGCCACATTTGTCGACGTTTGGCATACGGATAGCGCCGAGTCATTTAGCGAAGGTATGGGCAGCCTTTCAAAACGTGGTCACTTAGACTTCTTTCCCAACGGAGGTATGAATGGATTGTTTTGTTCAAATGGTGAATGAATGCCATATACTATGTATGTTGTGTTGACAGGTCTGATGCAACCGGGATGTAAGACCTCTCGAGGAATCGGTCATATCATACATTCCATATCTTCCGGCGAAGAGCTCTCGTGCTCTCACACTAAAGCAAATATATTCCCAATAAGTTTGGGTATAACTCAAAACAAAATGTTTTCTAAATGTGTTTTTCAATTCAATGAATTTTGTCATTTAAGGAAACAATTTGACTGAATGTATGACAATAGCGTACGACTGCCAGAGCTATGAGACCTTCATAGAGGGTCGGTGTACGCAATGCAAAGACTTCCGATGTATTCCTATGGGACTACAATTTGAACATTACAACAATTTTACTATCGATTCAAAAATGCTTTCATATAAATATTGGATCCAAACGGCGCCTAAACCGGAATTTTGCGGTACTTTTTGCTAATATGATGCCTGCGTTTTGAATGTTTGTTTGATTTCTTAAATATTGTGCCAAAATAGTCTATCACTACCAGTTTGGGATTCACGTCAATGAAGAGTCTGATCCATCCACAGGTATTCTCCATTTGTCATATTTGCGTCAATAATGAGTTTAATGAATGCCTGTTATATGTATATCAATGGAAAGGTGTGTTGGATTTTACATTGAAGGCCACTGTTAACAACACTGAAAGGAGTCTACAGTTTGAGAGATATATGACGGGAACACAAATCGGAGAAATTCATTCATTTCTCATAACATTTGAATTCAAGTTATCGGACATCACGTCAATGACTCTCACATGGAATCCATTTATTATTGAATGTATGACAATAGCGTACGACTGCCAGAGCTATGAGACCTTCATAGAGGGTCGGTGTACGCAATGCAAAGACTTCCGATGTATTCCTATGGGACTACAATTTGAACATTACAACAATTTTACTATCGATTCAAAAATGCTTTCATATAAATATTGGATCCAAACGGCGCCTAAACCGGAATTTTGCGGTACTTTTTGCTAATATTATGCCTGCGTTTTGAATGTTTGTTTGATTTCTTAAATATTGTGCCAAAATAGTCTATCACTACCAGTTTGGGATTCACGTGAATGAAGAGTCTGATCCATCCACAGGTATTCTCCATTTGTCATATTTGCGTCAATAATGAGTTTAATGAATACCTGTTATATGTATATAAATGGAAAGGTGTGTTGGATTTTACATTGAAAGCCACTGTTAACAACACTGAGTCCTCAGATGTCAAACTCTCTATATACTGCCCTTGTGTTTAGCCTCTTTAAGTAAGTAAAGAGTATTGTAAACTTAAGTTCAATAGCCTGTAGTGCAGTTACTGAGAGTGTACCTTAGGTAAATAATAACCGATTGATAAGTGGCGGACAAACTATGGCAAGAAGATGAAAGTGCCTTACGTTGAGATCAATTATATGAGCCATTATGAACGCAAGTAATTCAATAAATATTTTTCTTGTTCAACTTTTATATAAAATGAGTGACTTGAGTGAGTGAAATGAGTGAAATAGCTTAATGTTTGGCTTTGTTTACATGATAATGTATTTGTGTACCAATCATGAAATGCAGTGAACGGGACAAGTTATCGTTCATGTTATGTGCAAAGGATGGCAAATCGGACCTCACTATTAAGACGGGACGAGTGGAGTACGAGAAGTGTAAAACACACATAGAGTTGGATCACGTGGGTTTCCTCCGCGGGGAGCTGGACAACCACGGCAACCGGCGGTCGCGACTGTAGTACAAACAACTGATGCTCTTTTTGTTAAGTCACTAACTCTTTAATCTGTTCAGGTTAAAACGATTGTTTTGGTGAGGCATTGCTAACTATTTTGGCATTAAAGCATAATCTTTATTAAAGCATATTATTTATTTAGAATAAAAATTATTGTTTTTTGTTGTTACTCATATCAATTTATTTACAATTTAATTAAAATATTTTAAAACAACTGACACACAGCGACGCAACAATTAACCAGTTAACCACAATTCGGGTTATGCGCAAACAATAAATGTGCATTATTTATACATTTAATAAGCCCATTTATGGTTATTTTAAGAGTAACCAGTGATTTGTGATTTCATTATTAAATATATTTCAATAAATATAAAGTATTAAAATTTATTCAAAACCAGAATTTAAGACATTAAATTGTTGCTTATTTACTGATTACTATAATGAAAATCACACGATGCCTATTTATGACTTAATTTCAAGTGATAGAAATAACAAATAACTTTATTTATATGCTTATTTTTAAAAGGGTTTATTCGGGAATTTGGCTATTTTATACCCCGATTCCCTCCAAATTTGAACATTTTTATTCCGGAAAAATAGAGGCAGTCGTGTAAAGCAAACAACCATTTTTATACTAAATTGATTTAATAGATAATTTACTATGATTTAAATATTGTTTATTAATTATATTTGTGCATGCGGTTGCCAAATAGAGCTATCTACTAAACTTAATCTGCTATCCTATAGAAAACTGTATAAAGTATGTGCACATTTACAGTAAGTATGCTTACTCTAATATATTGTAAATGTAGTTTATTGATCAATATTAACTGTTGCATATTCTTAGAACACCCTATTTTAATATCTTAACTTGTTGAATTAAAAATTGCTTCAAGAATCGGTTAGTATTATTGGGTTTTATTCAATTTATTTTATTTCATTTATAAAATTAACAAAAAATTACTTCATTAATTCAAATGATTAATTATTTAATTTCACATTCAATATTTATTATAAAGTATTTCTGAGATTAAATTACGAATGAAAAGGTAATTAAATATGTCTTTTGTAAACATTTAAGGCAACAGAATATGAATTTAAAACTAATTATTTCTTTCATTTTAATTCGTAAGCAATAGAAAGCAATGAAATTAAAAATATTATAATTAATAGTTTACTCTGAATTAAAACATTACCTTTCAGTTGATGGCCACCGCTGTACAGGTAATAAAACGCCAGTGAAAGCCAGTAGTGATCAAAGCAATGACAACACAGAAGTAGACCAAACACTCAAGTCGTTTGACACACAGGAATCAACCGGTGATGAAGAACCAAATGCTCAGAAAAAGTCATTTTTAACTCCCAAAAAATCCATAATTGGTATACATTTACAACACTTTCAATTATATGTGTTACGCAATTGTGTCAAGTATGAAATCACAGTCCCGTTCTAGTGTTTATATAGTCCATCCAAATGATGTACAGTAGTTAGAAAATATGTGTTGTTTGTCTATATATTAATATGTCAATATTTGAACAATATTAGTCTATTACAGTCTATTAGTGACAAATCTATTTACAGGTCTTTTCAAAAAACGTGAAAAAGACGTCAATTTAAAGGAGTTCTCCGAACAGGAAGAAGACACAAAAGGACCGAAAGGAATACTTGATAAATTTAAACGTAAATCTGTTTTGCATTTGCAGTGCATTTCCACTCATTTAATGATTTATTTCTATAATTATAGAATATCAGGATATGTTAGGCAAAAGTTGTTTCCGAGATATCGGCTGTTTTTCTGCCTCTGAGTACAACGAGTCGGCGCGCTCTATACCACTGTTGCCGATGTCACCCGACTCTATGAGTCCGATGTTTCACATGTATACCTTAGAGCAGCGGACGATTCCCAGGAACTATAGCTATAACGCCACTGCAGCCCAACTCCGGTACAGCACTTTCAACGCCTCCCTTAGAACCGCATTCATTGTCCACGGATTTCAAAGCGGATATTCCCTGTGGTTAGAGGTATTCAAACATTTATTCATTTTATATTATTAAATATTTATAAATGTTATTTTGATTTTTAAATAAATGTTTTCAGAATATGAAAGATTTTATACTCTATAAAAGCAACGATCAATTCAATGTTGTGGTCGTTATTTGGGAAAAAGGTTTATCATTTTATTGTTGTATACAATTGTCAAATTGAATAATTAATTCAACAAATAATTAAATTTTATCAAATTAGGAGCAAAAACCCCAATTTATAACTTGGCCGCTACTAATACCCGAGTTGTTGGAGCACTCATTGGTTTCTTTATCAACAGTTTGTGCAATACGTTTAAGATAACAAATGATAGGTTTTGGTTAATCGGACACAGTTTGGGCGGACATACTATGGGTTACGCCGGCAAACGGCTAAAGAATCCAAGAGTAGCCCGCATTACAGCCCTCGATCCGGCGGGTATTTAATGTTATGTGTTTTATGTAATATTTGTTTTAATAATATTTTTATAATTAGGGGTCGGTTTTCACTTCAAGAACACAGCCTTACGTTTAGACCATTCGGACGCACAGATAGTGGATGTGATCCATACGGACGCCGCCCTCTCATACACTGAGGGCTTCGGAACGGCCGACACTTTGGGTCACTTCGACTTCTATCCCAACGGAGGTATCGTTTGAAATGTGTGTCAATAAATAGAATTGAATTAATATAATGCCGTTCAGGCAGTTGGCAACCGGGATGTGCTGTATCTGATAGTGTGACCAACAAATTGAGTTCAATTACATCGGGCGAAGACATTACTTGTTCGCACTCCAGGGCCTGTTTAATAATGAATAAC